TACCCAAAAATCCGATAATACCTAGAGAGATGAAGTCTTTCACCCCGTTTCACCCTACTTCTGCATGTTATTACCCTTATTCGACACGGATGGTCGACTCAGAGAAAGTACTACATAGGTATTCTCAGTGGATCGAAAAAAAGCCACTATTCAAAACGAATTCATACTGCTCAGAAAGGATCCATTCTTATTTCTCAAGTGGTTTCGGTTTCCTTTCCTGTATCCTCTCCAATACTAGCCATTGACTTTATACCTTCCTCTTGAAGTTTGAGAGGGATATAAGGTATGACTTTCAAAGCCAAAAGCCCCAGATCAACAGGGGGTCCAGTTGCCCACTCTCTATGGGCCCTGTACAAGTCCCGTGGGGAAACCGAAGATCCGTGTCCGTGTCACTGTCTGTAATGTCCCCTCTCATCCGCCCAAAACGATGCACAGTCACCTTGGTACTTCTCCGAGAGCCTCCTTCTCCATTGAAAATGAGGATTGAATGTTGTTGAGCTGAGAATGTTGTTGTATTTTCATGCCTCAAGTGCGCGCATAGAGTTCTGAATTTATTTTTCGTGTCGGGGTAATAGAAGGGAAAAGAGAATTATATTGACATCAGATGTGTTGATTTAGACGTCACTTTTGAGATCAAATTGAAGAGGGAGATGAAATGTGGAACCGAATGAAGAAGCTTTGCGCAAGAACTTGAGTAGGAAATCAAATCACTTTACATGGAGGGGGAAGTTTGACAGAAATTGAATGGCGTCGACAAAATGTTGATTGGAAAATTCATCATATTAGGAAGTTAATTAATTTAGCTAATTTACAGCTGTCAACAATTGCTAACTGAAGTTGCAGATTCTTTGATATTTGGAATTTTTGTCTCAATTTTTTTGTGAGATGATGGTGATTAGACAAAAATTTTGAAAAAAGAAAATTGAAAAATATTGATAATCGAGAGAGTTATGATTTTTTGAAAATGGCTAGTTTTTGTAAAGAAAATTGTTTTCTATCTTGGTCTTAATATTTCTGCGGGGTTTCAAGCTATCAAATCGCCCTTTTGGCACACTCGAAGGCTATGAAAAACCCTTCAAAATGAGACATCATATATAGCATTATCTTTAGGTTAAAGGGGTTTATACAAGAAAACATTTTTTTATCGTTAATTACTCAAAAAACTATTTTTTTTTATCTGAAATTTTCATTAAAAATTATCAATGAGACAAAAATCGCCATCATCGACTGTTTTGGCTTGGGATTTGTCGTGGATCTGCTCATTTATCAACTGAAATTTCGAGGAATTTCGTCATTGAAAATGCAAAATTTGATGAAGGAATCAATGACAATGAATTTCAGCTCAATTATTTGATGAAAATCAGCAAGAAACAACAAAATTGAGGGAAATTTATTCTTTGATTTTCCACTAATCAGAAATCGTGGGATGATTAGCTCGAAATATTCAGGTTTTTATTAAAAAGCCAAATCAATTTATTTTATTTAAAGAAATCTTATCTTCCTTCTGCACAAAAATTGGGGATTTCATTGAATTTTGGATGAAATTTCCAGGTTATTGATTTCCTTCTGAATTGAACTCAATATTGATCTCCTAAAAATTACTACTAAACTGTCCCTGAATGGAAAAGGGGGCTTCGAATTTACGGTACAATTTTCAGAAATTTGTATTGAATAACAATTTTACTGAAATTTCACAACAAGTAACAATTCGATGGAAATTTCAACAAATTTCGTCATTGAAAACTCTCAATTTGATGAAAGAATTAATGAAAACTATAAATTTCAGTTCAATTATTCCATGAAAATCAGTAAAAAAATAATTCAGTGAAATATATTCTTTGATATTCAAGTAATCAGAAATTTTGTGAAATTTAGCCCTGAATATTCATATTTTTTTAAATTTAAAACGCCACGTAAATTACGGAATTCGTGTCTTCCCTCTGCACAAAAATTTGTAATTTCATTGCGTTTTGAGTGAAAATTCAATTTTCCCTATTAATTCCCTCCTAAATTCAATTTGAAATTGATCTCCTAAAAATCCCTACTAACTCTCCAAGAAATTTTAATTTCTGTCTATCATTTTCGTCAAATTATTCTCTCAACAAACATTATAACATTTTTGTGAAAACGATAAATCCCCTGTTGTTTTCTACTAAAGAACCACTTCAATCGCTTTGTACTCTTTATCAAACACCACAATCAGCTTCTGAAAAGAATCCTCACGATGATGATGGTCATAATTTTTATGTGAAAGACTTGACAAAATGACCATGGGACTTGGAAAAAATGTCACACTATGCAGCAGCATCTGTTGTCGTTAAAAAGGCACGAGCCCGTTCTACACGCCTCCGTCAAGAATTTCCTCAGAACTCGTATAATTTTCCCCACTGCCTTTATCCTCAAAACTCAATATAATAAAAAAAAGGAGAAATATCTTCAATGTGCGCACAACAATAGCTCGGACCCCCAATTGAGTGGCTCCTGGACCACTCGAAATCCATTTAGACCGCTATCCGATTTTCGTTGGCTTCTCGACACTTTTTTTCTTTTCACGAGTTTTCACACAAAGTATTCATGTTAAGCCATTGTCAACGAGTATTTGGCGGGCGCCATATTTCTGTTTTTTCGAGAATAGCTCCCGGCGAGAATACAGATTTGTAACACGGAATCGGTACACGCATTCTCCGATCAACGGTTTTGGGACAATGAGAGGGAAATAGTGAAGGGTGCGAACGTTTGGTGGCAAGGGTGATACATATAACGATATTAAAAATTTATTCGTTGCATTTGGGGAATCCGGAACGACTTTATCTACACTCTGTTAAAATTTTTAGTTGAAATTTCTGATACACTTTTTGGAAATTTTTAACACATTTTGGTTTCACTGAAATTTCAAGGAATTTCGTCCTTTAAATTGTAAATTTCAGTCCAATTATTCCGTGAAAATTGATGAAAATCAGGGGAATTTCGGCCAATATATATTCTTGAATTAAAATTTGAGAATAAATTTAAAAAATTATTGAAAATTCAAATAAATGTGAAGGACGATGAGAGGGAAATATTGAAGAGTGTGAACGTTTGGTGGCAAGGTTATCTACATTCTGTTAAAATTTTTAGTTGAAATTTCTGATAAACTTTTTGGAAATTTTTATCACATTTTGGTTTCCCCGAAATTTCAAGGAATTTCGTCGTTAAAATTGTAAATTTCAGTTCAATTATTCCAAGAAAATTGATGAAAATCAGGGGAATTCCGGCCAATATATATTCTTGAATTAAAATTTGAGAATAAATTTAAAAAATTATTGAAAATTCAAACAAATGTGAAAGCAATGAACCATCAGAAATATTTCTAGAGGATTCAATAACTAATAATTCCAAGCTTGCACGACCGTTTGACACCCTTACACGGGCATAACGGCTTGAAATATTGTGCGATAGACTCTCAGGCCACTTCAAAACACGCCAACCCTCAGATTCCATACACAACATGCTGCGAACGATTGCACAATCGTAAATACTCATTTAGGCTAGCGATCAAAAATACTTAGTGCCGCCCACACAGAGTATTTTCCGAAGCCCTCCTCAATGAGCCTTCTGATCCCAAGTTATACGCAGGGTGCAGAGTTCTGATTCTATGCTGCACTACATCAACTCGTTGGTTTTTTCATCGTAATGTTGCGCTTTTTTTCTGCATCCGTGCGAATTTAAATATTTTTATTTCTTTGTTTATAGTACTCCCCAGGTATTGAAAAAAATTATAACTAGCTGTACTACATTCTTAGAATTTTTTTGAAATTTCGTGGAAAATATGATGGTAATTCTCACAAAAGTGACACTGACTTGGATTTGGGGGAAAAACGGTTACGAAATTTCAAGTTTTAGGCAGAATTCAAGGAAATTCGTGAGCTCTCAGTGGGAGTGAGAGTGAAATTTCACAATTGGATGAACATTTAGAACTAAAATGACATGAATTTTTGATTTTTCCCTGAATTTTATTGATTTTCAGATCATTTGAACCGACAATCAACGAAATATTTGATTTTTTAATGACAAGATTTCCTGGAATTTCAGTGGAAATTAAACCCGATGAAAATTTCCGAAATTTGGCACAGAAAATTTAGACAAAAACTTTTAAAAGTGTAAAAATGGAGGAAATTCATGTGAACATGTTGTTGAATTTTCAATTAATCGCAAATTCTGTTTCGTACTAAATATTCATGTGTTGCTGCTAAAAATTTTAAATTTCATTTAATTTCCAGAGACATTTGAAATTCATGATTTTTCCTCCCTCAGATCGCATACAACTCTCCACAAAATTTCAATGTTTTCCTAAAGCTGTTGTTTTGAAGATACTGTAAAGAATCTCTAATTTCTCCAATTACATTCTATTGTTCATACTAACATTCACTGGATAAAACCGGCGCCTCATAATTCTCTGTGAAACGATCCTATTTCCCCGAAAGACGTAAATGTCTCACGAGAACAATTCAGTAGCGAAGTGATAAAAGGAGATAAGTCAATTTTGACTATTGACTAGTTTTCATTCAATATCTCGGAATCTAAGGGAGATACCGAAATTTTTGTTATTACCTTTTTTGTGGCGCCGATTGAGTGCTACAACAAATGTAATAACGAAAATTTCGCTATCTCCCTTAGATTCCGAGATGTTGATAAAAAACTGGTCAATAGTCAAAATTGACCAATTTCCCTTTACCACTTCGCTACCGAATTACTCCTGGAAACCTAATTTTTCAGCAGAACTATTTTTTCCCTCAGTGTATCTAAATAACGACTATTTATTATATAAAAACTTCATCAAATATAAAAAATCCCTTCTTCATTCCCAAACGCAATGAAAAATTCTTCATCTCCCATTTCCCGACTAATTAACTAAACTAATCCACAAGCTAATCCCCAAGAATCACTCCTACGAGGATTAAAAAACCTTCCAAACATGCATCAAAACATTACCGCAACATAAAAATAAAATATCTCCTTACCTTCATATCACGTTATCCTTATCACTCACTTCAGAATCCTCACACCCACTATCAGTCACCCACCAACGGCACAAAATTCCCGCAACCATTCACAAGTTTATCCCCAAACTAGGCATTGCACAATCCGCTGTGATCCGATGCACCATAATTTCGCACAATATTAAATGCATTCGAGCGATAAAAAATTAGCAAGTCCGCGAGCGAGCCCGGCGATAAACCATGGCTCGCGACGCGCTGCTAACGTTGGCCCAAGGAGATTAATCCGCAGGATCGTTTGATGGTAAGGTTGAAGTTGAATGGACATGCATTGGTAGTCATCTCCGCCTGGGCGTAAACGGTCTTTGTACCACATGGGCTGGCTTTGCAACCCCTCTTTGCTCACCAACATTCCCATTGGTCGGACGTATCACGCCTCTCCTCCACTTTCTCCGCCTACCACCGCCGTTATCCTTGCGATTTACCCACGAAATTGAAAAAAAAAAGGTAAAAAAATGAAAGAAAAAAACCTGGAAAACGATGAATTCAGGGGCTGAAACACAGCTGTGGAAAAATCGATACTCGCGACAAATCGAATATCCCCCCCGGGGGTAAAAAGATAAACAAGCGCGGATTAAATCTCCGAAGGGAATATTGTTTTTGCATGAGTTACATTTAATCCAATAGGCGATAGTAAAATACATACGTTAATATTGGAAGATAATGTCCGAAAACACATGCAACATTTGGCTCAGTGTGTATGCACGATAAATCCGCTGTGGCTGTGATGGTGTATGCGGTGAGTCCGAATATGCGTACGATAGTAATAAATAACAATACAAGGCTGCCTACAGCTATCCCCCCAACCTTCGTGCCGCGCGCGGCTTCTACCTCATATATATGAACTGCCGCGGCGCGTCATTAAAATTATTTATGGGAAAATAAGAATCTGAATCCTTTTTTGGGTCCACCTTCATCGAGGGTATGTATACTCCGGGGCCTGCATAGCTCTTCCTCGTTCATTCGGGCTGTCGGTTTATTTTATTTTGCATGGGTATTGCCTTCATGGGATTCTGGAATAGATGGGGGTGACACAGAAGGGTGCCGAGAGGTGTTGGTTGTCTACTCGACATTTCGAATCATTTCTTGACGCGAATGGGTTTATGGTTTCATTATCGTATGGGGTAATTTTGGGAACAGTTCTTTTACGTATTTGGTTCTCATGATTTCTCGTGTAGGGATCTTTTTTTGTCATTCTGGCCGTAAGCAGCGTTTTGTGAGCGCTACACGGAGAGAAAAATTACCAGGAAAAAACGTAAAAATTACGTTTCGAAACGTAATCCGTGAGGGAAGTAAAATTCAGTAAAAAGTGTGAGTCGCAACTGAAATTGTACGAATCGCCACGTAAATTCTACGATTTGTTCCGTAAAAATTAATCACCCGTCTGATGAGTTACCGCTGTGGAGACAAGTCGTTCCGTAATTTTTCCCCAACGATTGAGAAATTTTAAGGAACGAAACGTAGAAATAACTCACCAGCTTCATAAAAATTGTTGAACGTTTCAGATTTCTTCTCTTCCATTCCTATTAAAATTACCGGAAAACGATTCCCCATTACTGATTACGTGAATTGCTCCGTTATTTTTACTGAATATTTCTCTCCGTGTAGCCTATTTTTCCCGCGATCCGTTTACTCTCAAATATTTTTTGTTAATTTCTCTATTTAATTGAACGAATTAATGGGGTTGAATAATTGATGGACAACACAATTATTCATTTATAGGTGTAAAAATCCACGCATTTAAAATATTCTCACAATCTCTCATTTTCAGCTCAATTTCCCCGTGAACTTGACTCAAAACAGTCAACATTTTCTCTTTTCCTTGTTTTTTTAATATTTTCAACCAATTTCTCCGTGTTATTCCATGACTTGATGAAGCTGAATGATTCATGAGTACATAAAATTGTCGTTTTATGGGAATAAAAGTTTTTATTACTGTAAAAAACTCTCACAATCTCTGATTGTCTACTTCATTCCCCTGAAAATGAAGAAAAATCTGCATTTTCTCTTGTTCCAGTTTCTTATTATCCTCAAACATTTTTTGCAAGCAATAATTACCCGCGCATGGAACGGATACAGGAGCAAATAATATTGTTTTCTATTAAAAACTCGAAATGAAACGATGATTTTCAACCACATGTAATCATTCACCAAAAAAATAAGAAAAAGTGGAATTATTTGAATTGAAAGATTAAATGATCGGCTTTTCATAAATGCGCCAAAGATTTAAACGTGCATTCCAGCAGTATTAGAGAAGATAATATATATGGCACCATCAACCCTCGCAAATAATATTGTTTTCTATTAAAATCGCGAAATGAAAACGACGATTTTTAACCACATATACTAGAAAAATGTGGAATTATTTGCTATGAAAAATTGAACGATCGGCTTTTCAGAAATGATGAAAATTCGCGTTGATCGTGCATTTCGCCAAAGAGTCAACCGTGCACTCCAGCAGTATTAGAGAAGCTAATATATGTGGCACCGTCAACCCTCGCATCGGAAGATGAAGAAGTAACACTGTAGGGGGGCGCGTGAAAAAAAATAAGAAACCAAGAAAATATTCCCAGCTGGATGCCATTACACGAGAAACGGAAGAGGATATTGTGTGTGATATCTCGGAGTGAGCGCGCGCAAGCCTTTGTGCCAAAAGAGAGGGGAAAAAAATATCATCTCTTACCGATTGACCACCTGGTAAAGCATCGCCTTGTAAAACACCGTATGGGGCGGTCCAATATAACCGGCACTTTGTTAAACACATACGAGAATATTCGTTTTCATTCCGATTGGATTCCCCATCGTGCCTGCTCACATACCTGTTTCAACTTTTAGTTCATCTTCGAGAGAAAAGGGATACTCATTCTTCATGATATTTCGAAGGAGCTGAAATAAATCGATGGATATTTGTCATGAGGTGGTCGTTGAGATTGGATGCATCCATTGCTGTCCATGTATATTATACACGATTTATGACGCATTATAGGGGCATTACAAAAACATTAAAATTCCTCTGGGTTTACTGGTTGTTTCAAGTTTGAAAATTTTTGGCTAAAATCTTTGAGATAATTTTTCGACGTTTTTATCAGGTGACAATTCTACGGAAATTTCGAGTAATTTCATCATTAAAAGTCCCGATTTAATGAAAAATCTATGGAAACTGTAAATTTTGGTGCAATGATTCGAGTGAAAATTCCGCAATAAATCGATGGATATTTGTCGTGAGGTGACATTACGAAAACATTAAAATTGCCTTGGTTCATCAGTTTTTTTCATTTAAGAAAATGTCTGGGGAAAATCTTTCATACATTTTCTATAAACAATTTATAAACAATCAATTCTCCACCATAAAAATAAATTGTACGGAATCGTAACAAATATATTCATATTCAGAATTTAACCTGTAATCGATTTCATGCCTACAAAAAATTAGGTTTCCGAAAGTGTAAATAATTTTAATTATGTATTTATAAACCTCGAATATTTAAAAAAAATTATAATTCGGTGCACAATATAATTTGAATGACGCTGAATATTCATAATTTTCTTGCATTTTTTCTCGCGCAATTTAATTGATAAATTTGATGATTGAAAATTGTACCAAACTGTAAAAGATAGTTGGATCCTTAACGAAAAATTCTATGGAAACTGTAAATTTTAGTTTACTGATTCCATTGCAACCAATACAATTATCAATGGGTTCCGAGAAAATGAATGGAAACGCGGAGAATTCAGATGATCATGTTCCTAAATGTCCAAGAAATTGAAAATTGAACGGATTTTTGTGCTAACTATGGTTATTTTGACTGAAACCTCAAATAAGTTGGGAAATTCTCGTCTTCCTGCTGCTCAAAAATTTTGCATTTCATTGAATTTTTAGTGAAATTTGAAATGCCTGTCTTCCTAACATTTTTTTATCGTTATTTTACATCGCTTTGACCCGGTTAGGGTATACTGCGATGATGATCAAGACTTTAAATGGTTAGATCGCACCATTCTACCCGGCCGGATTTGAACTCGGAATCTTTCGCATGTGAGGCAACGAATTTACCCACTGCGTCAAGCCACCGGGGCAACCCAACTTTTTGTCATGAAAAAATTAAAATTTCATGAACTATTAGTATGAATTATTAGTTGACTAATAATTTTCACAAGAGTAACTTTGAATTCGATTTTTAGATGAACAAAATCATAAAATTTCAGATTTCAGATTTTCAATGAAAATCTGAATAATCAGGACAAAATTACGCAAAATCTTTAATTCCATAAGAAATGCAAGAATATATTTCCCCAAATTTTTCTGATTTACATTATTTCATTCAAATTATTTCATCAAACTGAATTCACTACTGATTTCATTCAATTTTTAAAAATTATAAATCAAATTTAAGCCACTGCTTCGAAAATTAAGACTAAACTGAAGTTGTTGAGTTGACAAAGTGCAAAAAATCGACAATTTAAATTCTAAAAATTCCAATGCTGCCATCCGGAGGCAAAAAGTACAAAAGATCATTACAAATTCTTATCCAAGTTTGGCACACCTCAAACCCACCGAAATAAAAAAGATCACGCCAACTATTTCCCCGGAATCAATGCTCAGACGATGTGAATTGAAATGAGTACTCTTTTGGATTCACGATTGCCACCACAATTAGCATCCCGCTGTTACTGGGATCAGGGGAGCCACGAGCCCTCACCCTATTGTCCCCCTCCGAAAGCACCACAGTGACCATTCAACTGTGTTTCGAGGATCATGAACTGAAATTATTACGCATGAATAAGTATTTTTTCGCCCGTCTTTTCATACGACGATGAATTTATTTGAGGAGGCTGTTCTTATCTTCGTAGGGTTACTTCTCTCCACTCGATCTCATTCTGTCATCACGTCCATTGGAGTGGCATCGATAAGCGCTAATTCAGTGGTATATTTTTTTATCATATTTTTTCCTCGCCGATGTTTATCTGCTATTTGCATTGTTGGGTTACATCACCTGCCTTTATTATGTGGCTATCCATGTGACACACGTGCATTTTTCGTCTCAATGCAATGTAATATTTGATACGAAGACAATAGGGGGATAAAATTCGCGATAAGTACGGGACATATTGATATGGTTTGACTGTTCAATAAAGTTGCCTTAAATTTCCGGTAGACTTTTTGGAAATTTTTATGATATTGAAGTTATACTGAATTTTTAACTGACTTCGTTATTGAGAATTATCAATTTAAAA